TGATCAAATTAAAATGCTGACCCACAGATGGCTCCAACTTCATCCTGTTTCCTACTTGTATGTCTCATAACAATAAAAATGCTTTCAAATGAGCTGATGTAGGTAACAGCTCTTAGCTTGCCAATAAAGTTAGGAATCCTTAACCTGTAAATAGCTTGTCAATAAAGCTAGGGATCCTTAACCTAACCTTGTCAAACCCTGTGTAAAAGAGAGAGAGAGAGAGAGAGAGAGAGAGAGAGAGAGAGAGAGAGAGAGAGAGAGAGAGAGAGAGAGAGAGAGAGAGAGAGAGAGAGAGAGAGAGAGAGAGAGAGATGTTTTGTTTTTGAGCCCAGGTGTGTAATTTAGATACAGGTATTTAATTTAGACATGAGTGTCTGGAAGCCTTCACTATCACCACCGCTGCCTCCAGCACCATTACTGTAACTACCAAAGTTACTTACTACCACTACCACCACTGCTAGCACTATCACCACCACCACTAACACTATCACCACCACTACCACCACTGCTAGCACTATCACCACCACCACTAACACTATCACCACCACCACCACCACCACCACCACCACTAGCACTATCACCACCACCACCACCACCACCACCACTAGCACTATCACCACCACCACCACCACTAACACTATCACCACCACCACCACCACCACCACTAGCACTATCACCACCACCACCACCACCACCACCACCACTAGCACTATCACCACCACCACCACCACCACCACTAGCACTATCACCACCACCACCACCACCACTAGCACTATCACCACCACCACCACCACCACCACTAACACTATCACCACCACCACCACCACCACCACCACTAGCACTATCACCACCACCACCACCACCACTAGCACTATCACCACCACCACCACCACCACTAGCACTATCACCACCACCACCACCACCACCACCACCCATAAATCCCGCTGGCTGTGTTGGAGCTGACAGGAAACTAGCTAGAGACTCTCCCGGATAATGTAATCGCTTCTTAAAGCAATCCTCATCGGGTCTCCAAGTTATACCGGGAACCTTGCATTCTCCACCTCTCTCCTTCCTTTATCACTCTTCTCCCAGTCAGGAGAGAGAGAGAGAGAGGGAGAAAGAGAGAGAGAGAAAGAGTAGTAACCTACTACTACTACTGCTACTGCTACTACTACCACTTCCTCTCTCTCTCTCCCTCTCTCTCTCTCTCTCTCTCTCTCTCTCTCTCTCTCTGTCTCTCTCCCTCTCTGTGAGTCTGTATCTCTCTTGCGTACGAGTGCTATACGCATATTTACACCAATATATGCGTCCATACGAGCGTATAAGATCACACACGATCCTGTTATTATTCTCCCTCCGTCACTTAACATCGCTACAATGATAACAGTTATCAGTCCTCAAAGATAACTTGAGTTACATCCCGCTCAGTCGTAACCAGTTACATCATACTTGAATGATAACAGTTATAACTGTTACTGATAACTGAGAGAGTATAACTCACGTTCAGTCCTTGTTAACAATAACAGTGAGAAATGTTATTAACCTCTGGTTAGTGAACATTTACTAGTGAACATTTTGCATATTTGTTAGTGTACATTTGTAAATTAGTGAACATTTTGCATATTTGTTAGTGTACATTTGTAAATTAGTGAACATTTTTGTATATTTGTTAGTGAACATTTGTAAATTAGTGAACATTTGCATATTTATTAGTGAACATTTGTAAATTAGTGAACATTTTGCATATTTGTTAGTGTACATTTGTAAATTAGTGAACATTTTTGTATATTTGTTAGTGAACATTTGTAAATTAGTGAACATTTGTACTTGTTACTGAACATTTGTAAATTAGTGAACATCTGTACTTGTTAGTGAACATTTGTAAATTAGTGAACATTTGTAAATTAGTGAACATTTGTAAATTAGTGAACATTTGTAAATTAGTGAACATTTGTACTTTGTAAATTAGTGAATATTTTTCATATATGTTAGTGAACATTTGTAAATCAGTGAACATTTGTACTTGTTAGTGAACATTTGTAAATTAGTGAACATTTGTACTTGTTAGTGAACATTTGTAAATTAGTGAACATTTGTACTTGTTAGTGAACATTTGTAAATCAGTGAACATTTGTACTTGTTAGTGAACATTTGTAAATTAGTGAACATTTGTACTTGTTAGTGAACATTTGTAAATTAGTGAACATTTGTACTTGTTAGTGAACATTTGTAAATTTGTCAGTGAACATTTGACCATTGTTAGTAACATTTCGACATCAGTAAAATTTATTGTTATAAAACCTACGAATTGTATTGTTAATAATATATATTTATATATATATTTATATATATATATTATAGTTAATATATATAAAATTTATATATATAATAAATTTATACATATATATATAATATATATTATATATATATATATATATAAATATATATAATATATATATAAATATATATACATATTATTATATAAATATTTATATATAATATATATATAATAATTAAATATATATACATTATATATATAAAATATCATATATATATAAATATATAAAACATATATATATAAATATATATAACATATATATATAAATATATATACATAATATATATAAATATATATACATATATATATATAATAATATACATTATATATATATTATAAATATATATAATATATATATATATATATATATATATACTATATATATATATATATTATATATATATTATAATATATATAATATATATATTTTTTATATATTTATATATATATTATATATATAAATATATATATATATATATTATATATATATGTATATATATTATATTATTATATAAAATATTATATATTATATATATATATATTATATATATATTGTATATATATTTATATATATTATGTATATATATATTTTATATATATGTTATAT